ATCGGTGATTGCGCAGCGTATTTCGCGAGGCGTTGTACTGATTACGCGAGGCCCTCGGGACGCTGGGTCTACTTTGGAGATCTGGTTGAGAAGATCGCCGAGGACGGATCTGACTATCATGCATATGCTCTTGCTGCACACGGCCTAGCCGCGTTGCAGCCGGAAACAGTGGAGGTCCTCGGGGTGTTCCCTAATGACTGTGCCAGCATTAGTGAGACGATCGTTCACAAAATGTGGCATGACTACACAGAATGGCCCTCTCAAATGGTGGAGAGGAGTGCCACCCCCATGCCTGTTTTCTATCGGGCGTGCCAGGGACATTCCACTTTCGTTGCTTCCATTGAGAGAATGTATGTGCCTTATGACCTTGGCCAAGCCAGGAGTCATGGGCCCCTACTCCATATCGCCGACATGCAGACACTACTGGAATCCACGGTCGGAGAAGTTCAGTTCCCAAAAAGAGACTCGGGGCTTTGCCTTGAGGCAGACTACGAATTGCTGAGGCTCCTCCCGACTAAGAAGGATCCAAACATGCGAGAAGAAGATCATATTCCTTCGTGGCTAAGCCAGCGGAGGTATGGCGACCCTGTCCCTGCGAGGAAGTTCGCGGCCATGGGCAATGCCGCACTGCCAGGAGAGCCGCCATCAGTCGGAGCATGGCCCGCAGAGGACACAGTCCGTCTGTGGGACCAGCTTCCGACTCAAAGAACGTCTTGGCCGTGAATTCTTGTTTTCAACGGCCGGGTGCTCACCCGTTTTTCGTACAGGAATTGCCAGGATGGGACTCGTGTGTCCCGTGAGGTGCCGAGGTTCACCGATATTGACAAGGCCGTCACCCTTGTCAAAGTCAGTGATTTTCAGGATCCTGGAGAGAAGCAAATGCCTTGGTCCATTGTTTTCAACCATGAATGGGTATCATATGAGGTAGGTTTTGATGACAACTCAATGCTCGGATGGATTCATACGGACGAGACTTTGTCGTTGATCCAAGGCCATATGCCTCAGTTGCCTCTCGCAGCACAAGCATTTGTTCAGTCTGTCCCATGGGAGGACGATGGTCGGTTCCTGTGCGCTAACTAACTTGCACTGGGTGAGAACTGGCTTTGGACATTGCCCCTCCTGCAGCAACCCAATCAGGTACAAATACAGGGTTACTCGCGACTACTTGCTTCAGACATACCACCAGAATGCCATTCCATATTCACTTGAGAGAAAGGGCATTTCGTTGCTTGCTGTCCACTCCCATGAGCTCCCAGGCGTGCGTGACGCTTGGATTGGCGCGCGAGTAGAAAGATAACGGAGAGCTTCGGCAGATGTAATATACAACATTAACAACAATCTGCAGCAGGAGCGCAAGCGGGCAACGGTCACCAACTATATACGCTTGGCTGCTTCGGGCCAAACCTTTGGGAACAGCCGCGCAGGTAGTGTTCCTGCCTGGATTCCTGACCGCGCCGCGGCTCAGCCGCTGGCGCGTCGCGGCCCCTTCTTTCAGTACCTCGAGCCTCTTAAGAGGCGATTCATCAAATGGCTCGCGTACTTGGCTCAGAGAGAAGCCACCAAAGCTCCAACGATCGCAGGCTGGTGGCCCTTGCTTTGGGCAACGGACATTGACCAACACGCGCGCCCTATGTCTTGTCTTGCTCTGGCTGCCTTTGAGTGGCCAGAGGAACCTGACACGCTCTATTAACCACGAGAATGTTGGGCCAGATGGGGGCACGCAGTGAATAACAACAACATCTCTGTGCCAACGCTTCAGACATTGCTCAACGCACAAGCGGGGGCAGCACCTTGGCTGCCCGTTGAACAGGACAACGCCACGGACGTCACAGGGCCCAGCCCTCGTGGCCGTCCACCGGTTGCTTGGGCAAACAGTTTTGTGGCACGACCCCGTCGTGCTTCTCAGTCTGTTAGCCGGCGCGTCAATTTATGTTCCGATCACCGTCTCGTTTCAGTGTGTAAGCATACCGAACCTGCCGCTGGTCCAACCGTGACGGCAGGTGAGGGGAACCTACACGTGACACTTGATTTCAATGCAGTCTGCGGGTCCAAGACCGAGCAGATAATTGACAGGAGGATCGACCTTGATCAACCCGATGGGTATACGCATTCCCATTGCGACGACAAATCGTTGAATATCGCATTGACCCAGGGCGGAGCCAAAGCAGTGGCCGCTCAATATGTCATGGAATACAACAGCTTTCGCCCGGAGGCAAACGACCCTGATGGGTTACGACTGTCGGGTGAGGTAACGCACGATATCCCAGATGGTGCGCGGGACATCATTGATTTGAACTGGAAGGTTCCTGTTTCAGAACTGGGATTGGGTTTTCGCATTGTTCTTGTGATTGTGATTATTCGCGAGATCACTCGTTGCTTCATCACCGAGGGACATTACATTGCATACCGTGGGACGAATGTTCTTGCCCAGGGCACCAGCGTATATTATGATCATAACAAGCGGCAGAAAGATGCATTCGCCCTTGACTGTCGCATTCGTGCTGCGGTTGAAACGGATAACCTCTTGGAAGAATGGGCCCGTAACTTGGGTTCGCCGTCAGGGCGCAAAGTTGCAGGGGGCTCTTCATTGGCTTCAAGATAAGTATGACGACGAAGATACGGAGCTTCAAGATAAAGATGAAGGCCCATTCCGTACTGCCTGTGGCAAGTTTGGCATTTCCATTGCTACTGCTGCAAGGGACATTATTAAATTTACCAGAGATCGGGTGAAGAGTGTCAGCGAGAGTGGAGACGCAGCTGGGCCCCCCGACGGCCAAGCCGATACGGGGGGGCCCACGCGGCCAGATGACTTGGCGAAAGCGAGGCCCACACTGCCACCTCCACCACGCAGACCCGACATCCAAGACGATCGGGCTCACGACGAAGTCACGGAATCTCCGTGCTCTGCCAGCGGTCAAACTGCTGTGGCAGGTGATGAGCACTCAAGGTATTCGTCAGTAGACACACGGGACTGGTCAAGGCCCGCGCGCGCGGCGGAACCATGGGTGTCGGCCGCGGCGCTGCCGGCGACCCCTCGATCCATTGCCCGCACTTCGCAAATGAAGTACAGGATGGGTACTACGTTCACCATGATCAGATATACACGATGACCAAAAATGACAAGTGGTCACAAACGTGGCATGTGTTGCACATGAGGGACTACAACTGGTACTTTTCGAGGAAAGGGAAGGATTCCAAGAACAAGGACAAGCGCAACAGGGCTGGCCGTGGCAAGGGATACAGATCCCGCTCACCCTATGGGGCCGCGGGCCAGCAGGGAGGCTCGTCATCTTCAAACCCGAGACCTCCGACTCCGCCATCGCGGGATAATCCTTGGCAAGAACTGAGTCAGGCAGAGCCCGCGCGACCCAGTCGCCGCGGACGCGTCCGATCGACAAAGTCGAATCGGCAGAGAGAATTTATTTATCTATTGGTGGGAATCGTCGGGTTTCTTCGGCCCTCAGCTCCCTGGCAGCCACCGTTGAGTGGTAAAAATGTTTGCGGTTCGCTCCGGTGGTTGTATAATATGTACAGGCCAGGGAGGCTGTGGCTGGATGGGCCTACGAACCCCGTCGCGAGGGGAGTAAATATGCTCCTCTCCGCCTCTTCTGAAGTTTGCTCTTCTCACTGCCTACCTTGCCACTCCTTGATTTTGCGGCTTTGTACCGCAGCTGTTTGCTACTCAAGGAGAAAAAGGAGCGTGCCAGCCTTCGGCCGCCGCGCGTCGTCGGTCGTCGGCCGGCCGGCCTCCCTTACTATTCCTGAGTACTATTGCTTAACGGCTACTTGTTGTTTCATCGATGTCTCTTCCCGTATCCTCTACTACTGAGCAGAGTAAACACGAGACCTTGATTCTTTTCTCATCCTACCCCGATTCTCAGAGGAAAGATTAAGGGCGCACGTGCACGCCATCCGATAAAATGTCAAGACGGCGCGGGGTGGTCGGGGGTTGCGAAAGGTGCCCCTGGCCGAAGGTGCCCCCAGCTTTTCGCTCCATTCTGGAGCCCCTGGGGTCCTCTGTGCCTCGCGAGGGGTGCTCTGGAGGCCGTGGGGGCCTCCTTGGAAATCCTTGGGGCACCCTGGGCCAGGGGCACTTCTAGCAACACCCGAGGTGGAGATGCACGAAGTCCACTGCTGCGGACAGGCCCCGAGGGCGCAACCGAGCACGCCAGCACGCCTCAGGCAGGAGAGCGCCACCACCGGGAGCGGCAGCGGCGGCGGCCGGCCACCGGAGAAAGGGTGGCCCATGGCATTCGGGGCCCACCGAAGCGGCGCGGCGCGCCGACGTGGAGAGGTGGACCCCCCTCGGGGGGACCCCCCTGCCGCGAAAGGCAACACGCAGGGTAGCATGGACTGGGCCGGACTTGGGATCGGGGGCCGCTACTTCTGACCCGGGCCAACCAGAGAAACGGGTCAATGCAAACAGGGGGGTCAGTCCGAGCGCCGGGCCCCGCAGGATCTTGCAGAGCCAGTCGCGCACCGACCCGGGCTCGGACGCAGGATCCTGCTGGATCTCGCACGATCTTGCAAGACCCGACCGACCCGGGTCTGGATTGACCCGGGTCAGTAGGTCCCCGAGGCATGAGGCCAGGGTGGCAGAGGAGAGGGAGAATTGCAGAGAGCGAGGGGACAGAGAAGTTTGTATGCCGACCGCCCCCCTTCTCCGTTGCCGTGTGGTTTTCTCTCCTCCCATCTGCCCGCTGTCTCTTGTCGGTTTTTTTTTTGTCTATCGGCGAGCCCTGGCTCTCTTCCACAGGGTACGGCAGCAGATGGGGGAGAGGATCGACTAGACGTGAGAGTGACCCTTCGCCGGAGTGACCTTTGGTGCGGGCACATCGGGGTCCCCTGATCGCCGAACGCGATGCGATTGTAGAGTCTTGCGCGCTTGCGTGTGGTCCCGCCGCGGCCCCCCAAAAGCCGCGCACCAAAGGTCACTCTCACCCAGGGTCACTCGTGCGTGTAGCCGAGAGGAGGGAGGGCAGCGGGAGGGCACCTTGCAGGCTGCAGCTCTGGGCAAGCTTGATCGAGAAGGCGGCCGCGAAGGCCTGCGGCTCCTACGAAGGCCCTCCCCCCCGGCGGCGGCGGCACGTGGGGCGCCGCTCTGCGCCACGAGGTCGACGGAGATGATGTCTTCGTGCGCGCCCCGGCAGAGAAACCAGGGGAGGGGGGAGAGGGGGGGATGAGGCAAGCAAGCTACGCGCGCCCAAGGCAAATCTGACAGCCTACCCCTCCCACCTCAGCTGCCTCGATACGCCCGTCGTGAGACGCAACACGTGCCATGCTTAAGACGCCCGTGTCAGTACGTTGTGTGTTGGCTCAGCGTGGTACTACGTTCTGGCGAACGTATCGCGTCAGACCTACGCGTTCAGTCCACGTGTTGAGCTCCGTATCAATACGCTACGTGTCGCGTGTTGCGTAGCGGGGCAGCTAAGCCTCCCACTCGTCGTTTCTCCCTGCGTTGAATTTTCTTATGCCCGCCGAGCGGGGTGTCCCAGAAGACCTTGGTGTCCGCACCTGGCAGTCGCAGGACTTTGAATGCCGTTTACTGCACAGTCGGTGAGGTGGTGCCTTCTGTACATGTGGAGAGAGGCGTGGCCGAGCAGCAGAATCAGGAGGAGCAAGGGGGGAGAAGGATTTATGCTGGAGCATGTTGCCAAGGGTTCACCCCGACGGTAAGCGCAGGGTGCGCCTGCTCGCTTTTTGCAGCCTGGACTACGCAGGACAGGAGATCACTTATGTGGGTTGCGCCCCTCCTATGAACAGCGACCCTTGGCAATCCGTCCTCGACCCCTATCGCGGCATGTCGATACTCATGGGCTTCGGGGGTCGCTCCCAGTCTAGGGACGAAGGAGGAAGGGGCGAGGGCAATGCAGCAGCAGCAGCACAGGGCGATACCGCCCATTTGCTAACTCGTTCGTGTGCCTACGTCCGTGGCACGCCAGAGGAGCTCGAATTCGCATTGGGATCCTTTTGCGCAGACCAGGCTCCCGAAGCTTGCTCAAAGAAGACAGCGCGTTCCAGCCCCGATGCGCTCGAGCCGACATGGCTCCCTCGCTCCTGGAATCGACGCGGGCCTTGAATGATGCCTGCCCGGCGCCGTGTCTTTGCCGCTGCTGCCGTTTTCCTCGCCGCCTCCCCGGCCTTTGAAGAACCCCTCCGAACACGACGACTCGCACCTCGCTGCCGTGGTCCTCCTGCGGCGCGTCGTCTTTGAGGTCGTTGCTGCCGCCACCGCGCTCGCTGAAACCCGGGGCAGGCGCCGCCTTCTCTCGCTCTCCCCGCGACGGAGGCCTGCACCTGGGGGAGGCCCGCGAGGCGCTGTCGATGCTCACGGGCTGGCCGTGCAAGACCATCGGCTTCAGCAGGAGAGACTTCAGTCCAGACATCCTCTGGGCAACCCTCAGCTCGTCGAAGAAGGCCGGCTTCCTCGTGGCCTGCGGCATTCGAGTCATGAGAAACGGAGTAGGCACAAATGGTCGGATCTCCGCACGGTTTTCTTGGATCCTTGCCGGACCTCCCCTCCCTGTCGCGCGGAGCGCGCCAGGGGCGGGAGTGGAGGCGCCCTTGGAGGGGCCCAGCGCCGACCCAGGAAGTCCGCGCGGACCTCCGATATGGTATGCTCATGCAGCTTCCCGTTCCTCCAGGCACGTTTGCAGTGAGGACGTCTTCGCTGATCCCTCACCACATATACTCCGTCCTCGACGTCTTCGACCTGGACGCCCCGGGCCAGGACGGGCGGCGTGCCAGGCTCACAACGTGACGTTTGCGCCCCCCCACCCCTCAGTGTTGTTGCCAAGGTGTTGGGACGAGCAGTGCCGCTTCAGAGGTGGCCAGCAGGTAATCGTGCGATTTTTTGGCTAAGCTTCACGTCCGAGGGCGGCACAGTAGGCGCATCACATAAGAAACCAGCCCGCGGAAATTTCTTACCCGCCGACAGCCCCGGGGATCCGCAGAAGCTCTGGGGGACCTTTAGACCTTCAAAGATCGACGAAGACAGTGTCCCAAGATTTCTTACTGCAGGATTTGTTCTCGTATGTGCATGCTGCGTTGATTCAGCCAAGAGCGTCGCCTTGTTGTTTTCGAGGGGGGCACGGCGGTGGAGGCCTCCTCGCAGCGCCAGTCGCCGCCCATATAGTGCCCGAGCGCCAGGGTGTCTCAGAAGCATGGTTTGAACAGGCTGTGCCCGTGCACATGTCAGAATGGGATCGGGCTGCTTGCGAGACTCGTCCCTGCTAAGAGACTATATTCGGCGTCGTAGCGATAAATGGTTGCGCGGTGAGTGGAAGCCTCGTCAGGAGTGGCCAGGAACACTGCGGCGTCCAAGGGGTATCAGCATGGCGAGGCCGAACGACCTAGCACACGAGAATATGTGATCCTTTGCCACATGCTTAGCGGTATGAGGGCGATCACTTCGGCATACTTGGCAAAGCAGGCACTTGTGCAAAGCCCTGGTACACGAACGCCGCACAGAATGCAAGGTCGTCGCAGCGCGGTCTCATGGTAGAGAGAGTCGTCTCATGTACGGTCCTGGCCGAGAGGAGGGCATAGCGTTGCCGTCAGTTCGTGGCCTCAATCTGGGCCTCACCGCATGCGGCTGCAGCCGCTGCCACAAGTAAGAATTGACCCTCTCAGCAGCCGCCCTCCCGGAAATGGCTCAAGCTCTCGATCCCGGGGCACCTCCAGACATCTATGCCGGCCGGAACATATGTCACCTAAGTTCATCAGTTCGGGAGTTATTTTGGCCATGCATCGGCGCCACTTGGGACTGCAACAGGGACACTTCTTACCCCTCCTCCCCCTCTTCACTTCTGAACTATTTCTCCAGGCACGTTGCCACGAAAAATGTTGTGCGCACATCTGGGATGGTGCAGCGCCGATTGTGCCTGCCTTGGGGGCGCAAGGCTCGTCAAGATCAGGAACCCCCAGCTTCGCGACACGAGTTCGGCGGCGAAGAAGTGGAACGGAGCATGGCTCGCTCCTCGTGTCCTGCCTTACGCTCTGCTCCATCAGCGCGCCCACCTGGTTGCGCGCGCTTCTAGTCCTCTAGGTCACCCTTGGCGTCGCGAAGATGATCGCATGTCGCGGTCTGGACTGAAGGGCTGCCCTTCTCCAGGAAGGCGACGCGAGAGCGCGGGGTTGTGAAGTTGTCCGTGCGTCGCGCATCGCGGGGCGCAATGCGCGAAGTCAGGTGACCTAGAATCCTTCCCCCTTCCCTCCCTCCTCTTACCTCCTTTCCGTTTCATCACTACTCTGCTTTAGCGCGCCCACAGGGGTCTTGGCCCTGGACCCCCTTTGTGTGCGTCACGTTGAAGCGGTGCCATGCTCGATCTCCGTGGCGCAAAAGCGTTCCTCGTCGTCGACGTCTTCCTCCTCCTCCTCCTCCTCCTCCTCCTCCTCCTCATTTGATCCTTCTCCGTCCCGATGGTTGCTCGATGTATTGCCCATGGTGCCCAGTATCCCGATGATGTCCCGACGGTGTTCCAATGGTGCGCCAGCAAGCAAGTGGGTAAATACACCACCAAGTGGCAGATACACATGACCATGATTATGTAAATGTTCCATTGCTGCAGTTATCCCATTGCGGCTAAGTTCACCGATGAAGTGATCGTCGCGAGTCGAATATTTTGCCCGCGACGGCATCACTATATCATGTCGTTGCCGCTGCCATGGGCAACTTGGTCATGTACGAGACAGTGGCACCGTGGATCTAGACGCATAGCGAACGTAACCCCATGTAGAGGTCTGCCGATCTGGAAAAAATGTAGGGCAGTTCCCCCACGGACATAAGTAATGGGAACAGCATATCGACAACAGTCACGACGTGCACAGTCTTTGCAGAGCTTCACCATCGCGCCTGGTGGGCAGAAAGATAGTGGTGGCGACCGCCTCCGCTATTGAGTGCAAAAAGCCCGCATGAGACCAACGTTTTCCGCCGCCTGAAAAAAGGGACGACTTCTGGGGAAAGGGGCAGGGCTAAACTGTTGGTTTGCAACAGCGAGCCATGTGCGCAGCGGTTCCCATAGCTTGCCGTGCATGGTGCATGTTGTGGCCCACGTTAATACTGCACGTTATGATAGCCAAACGTCGGGAGGGCCTGGGCTTTCGCACGATCTCCTTTAGGACTGCGGATGCATCACATGTAGAAGGGGATATTGAAGACGCTTCGCGTAGCCCTACCAGTAGGAAGGCTTGGAGCCACTTGGGCTTCCTGTTCGACGTGGACCTAGAACTGGACGCGGGCAATCTGGTGTACAACATGACTTGGGCCACCCTGGTCTGGTTCGTCGGCCTGGGTACGGACTGGATAGACCCTTCTCGCGAGATTCCGGACAAAGTGCTGCCCCCGAGACCAGAGGTCCAAGGGCGGGCCGCCCGTCGACCCCAGAACAAAAACCGCTGCACTCCCCATGACCTCCCGCGCCACGTCCCCAACGCCTGGTCTAAAGAGACCAGGACCTGCTCGCGCCACCTGGTCTACCCGGACTCCGAGACCCTCGTCAGCCTCGTGAAGGGTCACGACGGAACCACGCATAAGCGGGTCGAGCTGCGGGACCCCAACCAACGCGCCAGGTCCACCGAGAAGGCCTGGTGCGCTCTTATCATCATGTTGCTCATGACGCGCGAACCTCGCACCCACCTGTGGCCCTTCCCTGACCCTTCTGGGTCCGGGGACATACTGGAGGCCATCCTCGGAGTATGTTGCCCGTGGCAGAACGGTCACCACTTTTTCCGGTCGCAGTTCGTTTCCTCCTGGGGGCTCCAGCTCTCCGACCTACGCCAGCTCCACGGGAAACTGGAGAGGCTGATTGGCTTGGTGCCCAAATTGGTCACCACTGCCCACCACCACCCCGCCGCGAAGGCTGCACACTGCCCCACCACCTACGCGGGCATGGAAACCTTCCCCTTCAAGCTCAAAGCCCCGATGTTGGTCCTGGAAGAGATCGTGAAACCTGCCGACATCAGTACCCTCTCACACACAGGCTGAAGTATTTGCTGTCTCTCCACCGGGAACTCACAGGCAACGATTGCGCCCCAGGGCCAGACGACGGCCCCTCCGAGGTCACCATCCTCAGCGGGGGATTCTCAATCGGGCTCACCCCTCTGGACAGAGCGCTACCACCAGCCCCGCTACCCAACGTTAGTAAGATCCTAGGTTACCTGACCCCAGACGACACTCGCTTCAGCGCGGAACGGAGAGCGGCCAGGTACAGGTGCGATGTGTGCCACAAGTTCCCCCTCAGGCACTACGAGGGTACCTGGCTTGACGACAACATACGTTCGTATCTTGCGACCAACCGCCTACAGGCGCACGCCAACGGGTTGAATGGCACCTGGCTCTGCGCTCAGTGCTGGACAGAATCGGCCGAGAAGGAAGGCCACTTGCTATCCCCGGACTGCACCTTCACCGACAACGTTCAGGCCGTCGCACTTGCCAGGGATCTTCCCCGGCCCCCGCCCGTGTACACGCTGCCCCCCACTGCCTCCCAGCTCGCTCTCTCGGCACTTCCCACCGCAACGACTGCGGGCAGCCCGGGCGAGTTCCTGCTGGAACCAGCAGGCCTCCATGCCCCCAAGGACGCCAACACTACCACACCACCCGCGCGGATCGACGACGACAGGTTCGGGCACGCGGCAGTTGAGACCAAGCGCTACACGGCCGCGCGCGACGGGTGCCCACCCTGAGCCCCCCCCCACCTTCCCGGGAAGCAGGCGCGCCTGCGCTCGGCTGCTTCGTGCGGAAGGCTGATGCAGAGTTTGGGCGGGCGGGCGCGGGCGGCTTCCCTGCGCGGGAGGATCGAGCAGTTGCTCGGACCGAACGCAGTTGGAACGCCACCTGGATGCGCCGCGCATGCCTCGTCCACGCATGGGGCGCCGAGCCCAGTGCGGTCAACGGGCTGCTCGATCAGAATTTACATCTTGTCTACCCCCGCGCCCCCACCAACAAGCCACGTTCCGCCCCGCCCGTCTCCGACGAGCACTCTGCGCCCAGTGAACTCGTACCCGACCGTGCCCCAGCTACCAAGGCGGCCCCGCACAGCGAGAGCGGGGGCGCCCCTGGCCTGACCGCCCCCGAGCAAAACGATCGCCCTTTCACAGCGAGCGGGACCGACGAGGTGCTCAGTCTCCTACCCGAGGTGAATCCCCCCAAAGGGCCAGCATTGAAACACATCGATATCGACTACCTGGAGGTTGCCGAGGAGGAGGGGAGGGACGGCCTGGACACCAGGCCCATCAAGGTCAGGATGATCGAGTACTTGCGCGACTTGCACCCGCTTCTGGACGACCGATGGAGCGATTCTACTACGAAGAAGGGCAAGGGCGCGACATGCCCCGACGCCCCCGAAAGCTGGGGCCCACCCCAGCTACGCCCCTCTTCTAAAGAAGGTCTACGGCGACCTGGTGGCGCCCACCTACCTACCCAGACCTTCCACTGGCAGGGCGCGCGGTTCGCCGCCGCCCGCGTGGTCGCGGAGCTCTGCGTTCATTCTACGGACCCCCCCTTATACTGGGCAGCTGGCTCGTGCATTCATACCGACGGCCCCAACGCGGTCCTTCCCCTCTGTGACACACCCTGGGCACCCTCGTTGACTTCCTGGCGCGGGTCAGTTCAGATACGCTCACCTTCGGGGCACTGCAAGCGGCCGCCAAGGACGCTCCCATGCGAGACACACAGGTCGGCCCCAGCTCCAACAGGAGGCATAGCAGCAATGACGGGCGGGCAGGCCTTGGCGCGTTGAGCCCTTGGGCGTCCGATCCCCCGGCGGAGTTCCAACCCTCTGGCCCCCGTTCCCTGGGCGACCCTGACTGGGGCGACGGCGCGGCGCGCTCCCCGACGTCGTCTGCGCGGAGTGGCACCAGCTCAACGTGCAATCGCCGAGTAATCTCGCGCTCCCCTGACGACATCCGCGCGCGGCTTGCCGGCCCCGATCCGGCCGCCCCCCCCCCGCCAATCCGCCACCCCGGGAAGCCCTGCTCCAGGCTCGAACAGCGGCGGCGCTGCGGGTCATGTGGATGATTTTCAGAGGCCTCTGCAGGGGGCCCCCGAGGCGACCTGCCCGCCTCGCGGCGGGGGCGCCAAGGGGCGCCGGTCGCTCTGTCTCCGACATCGAGTTCCGAGCCACTGATGGTGGCCCACTCTTCGGGTAGCCCCGAGCACGAAGGTAAGCCCTGCAGCCCCGCGTCGCCCGCCACCGACCCCCGCGGCTCCTCCGCGCTCGCCGGGCGGGACGACGGAAATCCCGCGCGCCTGCCTGAGCGGGGCGCCCCGCGCCCCCCTAGCATACCAAGGGGGCCCCTGGCCGCCAGCATTGGGGGGCGGGCGCGGCTGGAACGAAGGATGGCGCAAGTGCCGCCCGCGCCGCCACTGCGGGACCAGTCGCAGCAGCCCCGGCGGCAGCCACTGGGCCGGATGGGCAGGGTGGCCCAGCTGGGGGTCCGACGATCGTTGGAGCCGGCCCACACGGACTCACGCCGCCGAGCACGACGACCTCCCCACCCCTCGGTCTCGTCCCTGGCTCTCTTACGTCAGTGTCCAAACTGACTCCGCACCAGACCAGCGCGACCACAGGGGTGCCCAGGTCGAGGGCCCACAAGATTTTCGCGACCCAGACGCAGGGCAATGCATCTACAACGCCCCCCTCGAGAGAGTCGCTGTCCTGAGCCCTGTCGGAGAGGCTCCCGCTGAGACCGGGAAAAGGTCCCAGAGGGAGCTGGGCGATTATTTCACTGGCGCATGGCACCAATGGACAGCCGCGCATCCCCCGCATGCAGGCCGCTCTTGTGCTGACCCTACGTGCCAACCGCCTGAGTCCTGCTCGCGCATCCTCGACGAATGGTCCTACCACAGGTGCAACGTTTTCACGGTGAACACTGCGCTCCAGCTTGGGGTCGACTGGGAGTCTGTCTGCGCTCGCATCCGCGACAGAGGTAGAATCGCGGGCACCCCGGCAAAGCTAAAGGCAAAGGGTCGCGCGAAGACATCG